CTCCCGGATGAAGAGGTCATCGTCCACAAACTCGTGCAGCTTTGTCAGCTGGCTCAGGTCCCGCACGTAGTCCTCACCTATTTTCTGCAACAGGAGCACAGGCACGCGCTGACCGCAGGATGGGGGCGGCCGCTTTCATCCGGCACGCTGCTCCCGCCCGGCAAAGCCAGCGGCGCTTGGAAAGCAGGAGCAGGGGACTCGGGTGAGGTGCAAACAGAGCTCGACCATTCAAAAAGATGTAAATGGCTGAGGTTGGAGCGGCGTCCCCGGGGGGCAGTGTCCCTGGGGTCAGGAAGTGTCGGGGGGCCAGCGCACTCCCCCCGCGCCGTTACCTCTGCGATGAGCTCCGCCAGCCCGGGGTTGCAGAGCAGGAGCCAGCGCCGTGGGGTGATGCCGTTGGTCTTGTTCTGAAACTTCTCCGGCTCCAGGGCTGCAAAGTCCTTGAAGCTGCGAGGACGAGGAGGGGACAGCTTCAGGCTCGCCCACCTGGCACCAGCACCATTTCCAAGCCGAGGGTGGTCCACCACCGCCTCCCTCCCCGCGCTTACACTTGGGTCTTGACTATTTCGGAGTGGATCTTCGCCACGCCGTTGACAGCGTGGGAGCCGACGATGCAGAGATGGGCCATGTTGATCCTCTTGGTGCCTCCCTCCTCTATCAGGGACATCCTCCGCAGCCGGTCCACGTCATTAGGGAAGAGGGACGCAATGTGCTGCCGGTGGAGGCCAGAGAGGTGGTGAGCGGTGCTGGTGTTTAGGGATGTCCCACCCGATGGCTCCCGAGGAGGGGGCCGCAGCAACGTCTCCAATGCATTTGACACCAGCCAGAGCAGTGGCTTTTACTCCAGAGTGACGGTGCAAACCCCCTCCAAAGGGTGCCCTTCCCCAGCACGGATGTCTCTGGACAGAAGGACCCCCCCAAGCCCCCATGGAGAGGGGCTTGTGGGCACATGCTTGGCTGTTTTGGCAAAAGCCTCGTGCTGCCAGACCAGGAGGTGAAACCACCATGTCCTTTGTACCCCCGACCTCATCCTTCTCCAAGATGAATTTAGCATTTTGGGAGCAAAGGAATGCCAACAGGTAAGTCCCTGGAGCAACGGGTGAAGTCTTTAAAATAGCCACTAACTGCAGGATGGCAACAGACTGGTGGGAAGGGCTTTCCTATACACAAACCTCCCAAAACAGCAGCCAGAACCACCGGGCCACACACCCAACATCATCCGTTTGTGCATCCCCCTAATCCCGACAGCACAAGGCATGCCAGCCCCGTCCCCCTCTCTGGAGAGGGCTCCTGTGCCACCCCAAGGCACTTACATCCAGGTGCCTCTGGTTGATCTCGTAGATGATCTGCAGGTGTCTGGGGAGCAGCTTCTCCATCAGGTCCACCGGCCAGCGCTCCAGGGCTTCGGGGAGCACCGTGTGGTTGGTGTAGGCGAAGGTCTGCTTGGTGATGTCCCAGGCCTGCCAGGGGGAAGAGCCGGTGCTGAGCGGCGAGGGTGGAGGCAGCCCCGGCTGGGTGCCAGCACCCACGCATGGTCCTCCCACGGCCGCCAGCAGCACAGCCAAGCCGGCTCCTCCAAGTTCATACTGGTTAAACCCAACCTGACTGTTCCAACATCACTCCTCAAGCCACCAGCAACTGGTTCCCCAGCTCCTCCGCCACAGGCGGGAGGGTGGGTGCAAGCGGAGGGGACCCAGGAGTCAGGTCGGTCTCTCTACCTTGTTCCACGGCAGCTTCTCGATGTCCACGAAAATCCTCATCAGCTCAGGGATGGCCATGGCGGGGTGTGTGTCGTTCAGCTGGATGGCGACCTGCGGGGAGAGCAGGGGTGGCACACGGAGACACATGGTGGACACGCGGGCATCCCACTGCCCAAGTCAGCTGGGCACAGGCACCCGTGGAGGGTCCACAAAACCTCTCCAGCCCTGGGTGTGCATCTGGGAGGCGTCGAAACGAGCTCCAAGGCACATGTCAGAGCAACCCTGGCTCGTACCTGGTCGGGGAATGAATCAAACACAGCTCGGACACTGTCCGTGCTCCCGAATTTGGACGCTTTGAAGCGGCGGATGATGTCCTGGAGGGTGGCAGCCACGACGAAGTACTCCTGCTTCAGCCGCAGCTCCTTCCCCTCGAAGAACTGCGAGCAGAGGAGCAGGGCACTGCAGGATTGCGCCGTGCTGCCCAGGCACGCCTGTGCTGGAGGAGCTGCGCCTTCCCGGGGCTCCCTGCTGCGCGGGGACCCACGCCGGCACACATCCACCGCACGGCACGGCGCGAGCCCCCAGCGCTTCCCCCAGCGCTGGTGTTTGCAGCAGCTCTAACCCCAACATCTTCTTGATTTCCAGATTTCAGCATGGGGGGGTTTGAGATGTGCTGGTACACACAGAGGTTTAAATCCCCCCCGAGCATTGTCGAAACCCATTCTCCCTGGTTCGAAAGTTTCGGCCGCAAGGAAAGGTACTGAGGCAATGGGAAGGGAAGCCACAAGGGCTGTAACACCTAGGAGCTATTTCTAAGACAAGAATTAAAACCACCGTTCACGCAGCGCAAAAACATCAACCCGCTGGTCTGTAAGAGAGGATCTGCAGGAGGCAACCTCACCACCGGAGCTGCGGTGCCCCCAGCTCTCCTCGCCAGCTGGGAAGGCTGGGGTAGGATTATACAGGGAAAAAAAAAAAAACACATCAGGGCCTGCCCAGAACAGGCTGCAGAGCAAGGAGAGCCACTCTTTGCCTTCTTCCCCAGGTCCGCAGCCTGTTTTGTGCCCGAGGAAGGGCTGTACATCCCATCGCGCCGCCGTGCCAGCCAGCGTGCGGCACGGCAAGAACACCCGCAGCAAGAAGTCGGGATGCAAAGGGCAATTTGGGGCATCATCTCCGGACCTGGGCTGCAAGGGATGGGCAGGAAAGTGCCAGCAGTGTTCATCAGTTTGCCCTCATATTCTATTTTGAGACTCAAGGAACATTTCTGCAGCAGGACAAGCTCATCCCCACTCCCTCCCCTTCACTGCGCTGAGCACAATTTGCCTGGGAACGGATTCATCCCTGCTGCAGCCCTAGGCAGCGCTGGTGAGAGGCAGAAATCCTCATCCAAGCACTACAGGCAGCTTGAAACACAACTAAAACATCTCTGCAACGTCCCAGCAAGAGGGGCTGCTCCGCAATCTTGAGCCATCCCTAAAACAGGGACACCCCTCCATCCCAGCTTACGTTGTCGTTGGGGTAGAGGACACGGGATATGTTCTCCGCCAGGTTTCTGTCCAGCACGGCCTGGACGTAGTCTCCGACATTGACTGGGGAGAAGCAGAGGGATAAGGTGGGTGCGGGAACCCCCTCCGCCCCGTCCCGCGCAGCACCCCGCCAGCACCCACTTACAGTCCCGCAGGTTGAAGTCGTTGGGTGCCCGAGCCGACCACAGGCGCATGGTGTTGACGGTGTTGTTCATGTACCCGGGCACGGGGGTATCGTAAGGCAGCGCCAGCACCACCTAGAACATCGGCAGGCAGCCGGAGCCGGGCTGTGCCCCTGGCTGGTGTCCCCCCACGTCCCCCCTGCCCTGCCGGAGCCCTCCCATCCCCACAGACCCTCCTGCAGGAGTGAGCTCAGGGTTGCATCCACCTGCACGGGGTTGGATGCGTGGGGACATGCTTGGTACCCCCAGCCCCTGCCCTGGGGACACCCCGGCTCCCCCGGCTCTGCCCAGCAGCTGGTGTTTGCCAGAAGCACTCAGGGGATGGAGAGAGGCTTGCGAGGGTCAGGAGAAGCTTAATTTAAGCCGTCATGCCGGGCTGTGCATTGCACACAGACCTGCTGGAGGTGCTTGCGGGTGTTGCAGAGGTTGGCTGCAGATGTGGAGCAGCAAAACCTGTCCCCATCCCTATGTCCAGCTCCTCCCCAGTTTGTTCCGCCACTGCCTTTTCCACCCCAGTGGAGCAGCCTCACCAGCACGACCCTCCCCGGCAGGGATGCTGGCAGGACCCCTGCCCGGGGTGCAGTCAGCCAGCGAGAGCCCCCCAGGTGACAGGACAAGCCATGCAACGGGGGGGGGCGGGGCCGCCCACCCCGGG